GAGAGTAAAACCCTCAGGGAAGTGCAGATTCCTTCTAAACCTGAAACCTCTGAACAGTGTTGTAACTTACAGGAAGTTCAAGATGGAAAGCATCTTCTCGATGAGGTCCATTTTTCCACAGTCAGCATTTCTAGTAACAGTAGACATAAGGGATGCCTATTTGCTTCCATCTGTTGCATCAAAAGTATTTCAGGTTTTGAATAGGAGGGCATGAAAGTACATTTCCAATACAGAGCACTCCCATTCAGTCTGGCCTCAGCCCCTTGCATTTTCACAAAGATAATGATAGAAGTAACAAAGGAATTGAGAGTGAAAGGAGTTTCAATAATCCCACGCTTAGACGATTTTCTTATATTTGGCAGGACAAAATAAAAAGTCCTTGACAATCTAGAGACAACAAGACAGTTTCTTGAATCTTTGGGATGGAAACTAAAATCTGAAGAATCAAATTTATGCCCTTGGTAGAACGTAGCCTTGTTTTTTGGCTACATGGTAGATACAGTTCTTCAAAGAATCTTTACTGGCAGAGAAGGTCACCAAGCTGTTAAAATCCATAGGTCAGGTGACAGAGGTGCAGTTAGTCTTAAGATGACTGGAAATGTCGGTCCTAGGTCTAACATCATCCTATATCCCAGCAATTCAATGGGCTCAGCTCCATGTGAGACTCTCCAGGCCCATCTATTAAGTCATTGGGATGGGCAAAAAGTTATTAGAAGAACCCATGGGCATTCCGCTGTCAAGGACTCTTTACAATGGCTGACATAGAAGACCAATCTATTAGAAGGAAGGATTTGTTCCTCCCCCCGTTGTGACAAACTTGAACAGGGGCTTTTGGAGGGGAGCCTTCTACCCACTGGTTGTGGCCCATGTAGAGAGCAGATCATTCTGTAATGATGGACAACGCGGTGAGCACTGAGAGTGAGGCTTGGATTACCTCTGAGTAAAGACAGTACAGCTTCCCTTCTGGAGTAGATAAAAAGGTGTAATATTAATCTTTTACAAGTTAATGGTTACAAGTCAATGGTCAGAAGAAATATGGGGCCTTCCTGCAGACTGGGTTGGAGATACCTCCTCCAATTGTGAAAGCAATATTTATCAACAATCTCCCTCAAATCTATTAAGATGGATGACTTCTGCTTTTTCAGACTGTTGGAATATTGTATGAGTTTTGTCTTATGATTATACAAGTGAAAGCAAACAACTGAAAGACAGCATGTGTAATGTACTTTTTATATTCAGGGCTGGTGGTACTGGACTGTCTGGTGTGGGCTCCCTGGCTTGTCTGGGTGTTTAGCTGTTAGTTTACTGTTAATTAGATCACTGTTCGCTGTTGGCATGTGCTGTTTACCATTTGCACTGTTTAGGATAATGTGATCAAGCTCTTAACTAATCAGTGTGGGATGTTTATCAATGTGTAAATATTTGTTTTTATTGTTCACGTGGGGACTGCCCCTATTTCTGAAGTGTATAAAAACCTGTGTTTCTGTTCAATAAAGTAGTTTGTTTTGCACTTAAACTAGTGTCACCTAGTCTTAGGTGCGATGCCCAGCTATTATACCTTGGTCCTTTGTCCCAGTGGCTAGGAAGTAGTTCTCTGATGGAATCACCCATTTTGGGTGATGTGCGGTCCTTCACATTTGGTGGCAAGCCAAACTACTACTGGGTTTATGGATGAAGCATAGGAAATGGCAGCTGAATTTCAGTGGAGATTGCAGGAATCTCTGGCCCATTTTGGTGGCCCTGTCTTGGCAGAAGGGTGAACTGAACTGGACCGGAAGGATGTGTTTCAAAGAGAACTGTGGAACGAGCCCCTTGAGGAGGTTTGAGCTCTCCGGAGAGAATTGCAGTAAGGGGGGGAAGGGGGTACCAGATGTCAAGCAGCCTTTGACCTAGTTCACATTGACATTGAAAGCAGGCATTTGAGGGAGTTTTGAACGCTCCTCAAATGCCTATGCAAATGATAATATGGACAGCACATAGTGCTGTTCTAGTTATCAAAACATGAACCGTTAGCATCGCTTCGCTTCAAAATTGAAGCCTCAATTAACGTGCGTCAGACACTCCAGATATGCACATAGAGTGCTTGGGGATCGGTTTTTGACGTGCGTTAAAAGCAAGTCAAAACACACCTTTTAAGGCTCCTTAACACTAGGGGGTTTATTTACTAAAGCTGGTCCACTCAAAATCTCGTGCACCTGTGCATGATAGCCAATCAGCTTCTAACCTCAGCTTGTTCATTTAGGCTTTAGCAATAAAACCTGGAAACTGAATGGTTTCTATGCAGAAGCGCACGACATTCTGAGTGAACCAGCTTTAGTAAATAAACCCTCTATGTTCAATTGTTAAGCGTTAGCAAAATAAGAAATGTTATACTAGCTCTGTGCTGTAGTTTTGCTGAGCAGCCCTGATCTTCTACTTTTCTGTTTCCCCCTGACACTCCTGGCTCCTCCCCTTCAAGCAGTGAAAGCTGCTTGCCCTGGGGACACCGCTGCATGCTCGCTCCCAAGCCACTGCTGTATGCATCCATAAGACACAGATTGGCCCCGGCTCCCGCTGCTGTTATGCTGCCTCACGCATAGAATGCGAGAAGGTAATAAACCCTCAGGCCTTTAACAGAAGGCAAGACTGATCATCTCATGGGTGGAGAACATCTTGTCCAGCCTACTCTGCTGTTGACACCCAAGGAGTGGACAGGTGGAAGGTGGATTACCTCATACATCACTGCATGGACCAAGGGAAAGGGACCTTCATCCCTACTTCTTCCATCTCTCGTGTCATAAATAGGAAACTCTAGAGGTGAACATCCTGCCCTCCAGGTTCAACAAGAAGTTACCCCTGTTTGTAGCCAGGGCCAGTGATCCACTAGCACTGGCATCAGATGCTCTGATAATTCTCTAGACTCCAGTTCATACATGACTTTCCTCCAGTGAAAATTCTTCCTGGACTTGTCTGCAAAATAGAGCAAGAGAAGAAATTAGTGTTGTTATTGATCCAGACTGACCCAGGTGAACCTGGCATACATATTTGCAGACTTCTAGGAGACCATCTCTGGCCTCTTCCGAACAGGCCAGACCTCCTGTCTCAGGATCGGTTTCATCTTGTTTCTCAGTCATTGGCTTACAAGCATGGCTGTTGAAAACCAGGTCTTGAGGAATACTGGGATCTTGGATTCTGTCACTCTCACACTGCTCAGTCAGAAAAACCACTTCCAATAAAAATGGCTATCATACTTGGAAATCCTTCTTTGCTTGGTGTGAACATAGGCTTTTTAATCCAGGAAATTCTCTTTAACGTGCATTCCAACCTTCTTACAATCACAATGGATAGAGTTTGGCCTTAAGTACTCGTAAGGGATGGCTTTCTGTCCTGTCCATTTTATTTCAAAAACTCCAGGCCCCATTTTCGCTCTTACAATTTTTTACTTAGTTTGTTCTCTGATTAGAAGACCCTTCCACCACCCTGTGCTTCCTTGGGATCTTATTTGGGTTATCTCTGCTCTGCTGAGGCCACCCTTTGAGCATATCAGGCAACTTTCTTTGGATGCATTCTCCTGCAAAGTGACCTTCTTAGTAGCCTTCACGTCCGCCAGATGTGTCTGTAAACTAGCAAAGTTAGGTGTCCTAAAGGTTGAGGCCTATAAGGAGGGTCTATGAATATTCAGCCAGTGTCCTGTACTGTACTCCAAGATATGGAAATCACAGGTAAGTAGAAATGTATTTTAATTTTATTACAATTCTAATTTGATACTTTTTTTTTTTTACTTTAACTTTGTTATCACAAGGGAGCTAACAAGCCCCCAATGTGATTAACATAGGCAGGTGATATGTTCTCCTTATGGAAGCATCAGATGTTGTTAGATCCCTTTCAGTAAAAGTGATCTGTACATGTATACAGCCTTTCGGATCACTTTCAAATTCAGAATACTTTATTAATCCCAAAGGGAAATTTGATTTTACTTAAAAGCTGGTGAGCTTTTGCTACCCATGAAAGTAATGCTGTTTCTGTTGGCTATCTTAAATAAAAATGCTATTTGAAAGCCACTTTGTTTTCAAATGTACCTATGTAAAAGAGGAACTGGTTAAAGCCAACATCAGGATTATGCTGATTAGACTGTTCCTTCATTTTGACACTTTATTCCAGTTTAAGTGCCCTCTTGCCAGCTACACAATCCTACAGTATCTGCTGCCATTCCTTGTTCTGAACTATAATTTGGGATCATTAAATTGTGGAGGTTATGCTTTGATCTTTGTGCCTGGAGGAGAGCTTGATTTTAGCCTGCATTTCCACCAGTTTGACATCTATTGAGTATCGTGGCCAAGGGTGTCATTGCTGTCAAGGGCAGTGTATAGCATCCTTAATTCTTACACTATATTGGCTTTCTTGAACTACTTAGAGCTTCTTTGCTGCCTTAAAGCCTCCTTAGTTGTGTTCCTCCTAAGCTTGGAAACGAGTATTCTATACCTTATCACTAGAATTCAGCCTCAGCCCAACTCCAGCCCTGGCTGTGCATACAGAGCGGGTAAAGGCAATATGTAGAGCTTCTTGAGAGCTGCAGCAGTGGCTCCTGTGCATTTGTAACTGGCCGAACCTTATGCTGTGGACGGATTCCGGTCAATCATAGCAGTGGGGCAGGGTGGTTGAGTGGGGAAATGTGAAAGCTGCCATGCAGTATTCTGTCCACAACTCTGCACATTTATCCACCAAATGTAAGCCATAGCTGTCTTTGTATATCTGATTTATATTCTGCATTCTAACCTCCATGTTAGGGAAATACCTGTACCCTTAAAGCAGCAAGGACATTCGTGTTTGTGGAATACACAGGTGGGGAAAAAAAGGTACTAAACAGTGCAGTGACATTACACAGCAGAAAGTCTACATCATGCCAGCTTAAAACTGTGTTGCAAGGGCTTGTGGGTGTCCTAGCTTGCATGGTGAAGAGTTGCTTTCATTGGTTTTCTCACAACTGCTAGAATCGCTGATAAATGTTTTATCTTTTTCAGGGTTCACAAAATACCTCTCAAGTTGCCCCTGTGGAGATGCCATCAACTCAAACTACCCAAGTGGTGTCTTCCATGGACAGGTAAAAATACAATATTGATGACCTTACTGTACCTTTTGCAGGGAAGGCAGCCATCTTTGCGTGGACCTGAAAGTCAGCCAGTTGATTTAGGTTTCTTAGAAAATTAGTAAGCTGAGTACTTAATGTTTTTACAAATTAACAACTTGATAACAGGTTCCCTTTACAGTTGCCATCCTTGTGTGTTGACAATTATATTTCTTTTAGCGCCCACTCAGATGTGGCATCTGGGCTCAGTGATGGGAACGAGGGAGTTTCTGGCTCCAGTGGTAGACATGAAGGCCGTACCACCAAGCGGCACTACCGAAAGTCTGTGCGCAGCCGCTCAAGACATGAGAAAACCTCACGCCCGAAACTTAGAATTCTTAATGTGAGTTCCTTTATTTGCCAAACCTAGAATTCTGTTTAAATATTATGACAGTGCTTTGTTAGTTTTCAGGCCTTGGTTTATCTTTTTTCATTGTACTTCCATTTCTTTGTTCAGTATGTCTTTCACAGGTCAGACTTGAGTATTTAAATATAAAATATCTTAAGATGGCATTTTAACGCAAAGGCTATATAAATATGTGGATATATATTGTCCCATTAAAAAAAAAAGTGGGAAAACAGCTACTATCAATTCAGCCATTTTAATTCTGCCCCTCTTCAGTCCCCCAAAGCCCTCCCTGTGTGTAATAAATATATATATATATATATATATATATATATATATATATATATATATATATATATATATCTATATATATCCCCTATACATACGTTTTTTTTTTTCTCCCTGTAGTCATCTTTCTAGTCTGGCGACATCACAGAAGCCTCTCCTCTTTTTGGCGGCGGGGGGGGGAGGCATTCTTCTTGGAATGAGTAGCATTCACATAACGACTTGTGAATGCTGCTCAGTCCTGGAGTAGTGAGCCCAGCCTGCGAGATGAGACACCCCGTGGGGGAGTTTCACGTAAAGGACATGCTAGGCTTATAGGAAATGGGCAGAATTACGTTGTTTTTCGCTTTGAAGAAGACATCCAGCTCTAGACTGAGGATGAAGTGTGGGTGTTGAAGCAAGAATACATTAACCTCCCTAGCGGTATTCCCGAGTGTGTCAGTGCCAAAAGCGGTAACCCAGAGCTAAATTCGGGCTTACTATGCGGCGCTGCATAGGGAGTCCCAGCAGAGCTTACCTTGTCCTTCGCTCCCGCGATGTGTCCCCTGCAGCGTCCCCGGCCATTTCCTCCGGCCGATGCCGGCATCCGGCTTCTGTGTTCCGGTCCCTGTGACGTCGGGACGTACGGGCGCCGCCGCCGGCGGGAAATTTGAAAATTTTCCCTAGTGCTTTGTCCTGTGCCCTGCCTACATTTTGTCTGTTCTTTCTGCCTGGAAACTGAGAAACGTCCATGGCATCCAAAAAGTGTCCCTTTAGGTCAGAAGCGGTTTTTAGACCAGCTAGAGAACAGCGATAGTAAATCAGAACCACTTGCAGAATTGAGTGATAATGATTAGTTGGGGAAAATCGTCATCAAACACTGAAAACGATTTTGCGACTTTGCTCAGCGATGTACGAACTAGGCGCTCTATTTCAAATTTCAGTGTTTTTCGGTTTGATTATATTATTGAATTAAATGTATTATTATTATTATTATTTTTTATGATTATTTATTAAATTATAATTTATGATTTCGTGTTTCAAATTTTATCATACCCAGGATGTTTACTAGACTCTTGTTTGGACAGATTTCAGTGAGTTATTCCTAAAAAATTACAACCTACAATAAAAAAACTACATATTTCCATGCAAAATAATGGTACCGCTTTCAGCACCAAAAATCTGAAATAATAATACCGCTAGGGAGGTTAAAGAAGTACAGCCAAAGCTCATTTGGCTGTACTTCTCCAGTGGATCACAGGAGTGCACTCCTGTGACCCATTTTCCACTGACAGCGGGCTAAAGTCTGCTTTTGGATGATTCACTCAGCTGGTCCAGGTTGGGGAAAGATCCCTACTTTAAAGTCGGAATTCAATCAGATGTCTGGACCAGCACCTGACTGAGCCTCTCAGCGACCGGCTGAGAGCCTGAGCCAGCCACTCCCTCATCCTCCACAGCACAGTACTCCGAGGAGTGCTGGAGGAGTGAACGAGACAGAGCAGAAAGTCGGTGACTGACAGTCACTGCTCTGCGCTTAGAACAGAGTAATCAGTGGTGTCTGAATGCTCAGTTCTCACCCTTTGAGTAAGCAGGGACAGATGCAGCATTGGATCGATGCTGCATCCACCTAGGCAAGTGTGATCTATTCTTCAAGTGAATTGTTTTTTCTTTCTTGTGGGAGGAGAAGAGGGGTTTGGGGAAGAAGGGGGTGGGGAACCTTAACTGGAAAAAAAAAGGGTGAGGTGTCTTCAATACTGCATTCTGTATTTTGGCGTACAGCCTTGATTGAGCAGTACAGCAAGAAAGGATTTTACAGGCAAGTCAAAAATCCTTTTTTTCAGTTTGGACAGAGTGGGCAGATGATAGGTCCCTTTTAAGTTGGTGAGGGATAATCTTCCAGTGGTTACACATGTACTGGTGGCAGCTGAAGAAGGTATTTCCTTCATGTTGGAAAGATATCCTCTCACTTCTGTTGAGTCTACAGAAAAAGCGGTAAAGGGAAATCTTTCTAAACAAAAAAACCTGAGAGCGGGTTTAACTTTTCCTATTGTATTAAAAATTGGCTTTAGATATACTTTAAACCAGAACTAAAACCTCTTATCCTTCTCAGCCAATGAGGCTGCCATCTTAGCCTCTGTATGATCTGCAACTGCCATGGTGCTTGTATGATATGCAACTGCCATGGTGCTTGTATGATCTGCAACTGCCATGGTGCTTGCACATATGATCAGTTATGACACCAGCCGTTTGACAATTTGGTTGAAGGCAAAAGCAAATGTGACAGGTAGCATTCCTGGCATGCCGGTTATGTAACTGTTTTTTTAAATTGTTAAATCAAGCGGTTTAGTTCCGTTTTTAAAGATCCCTGGATTAATGTTATGTTTATAGCGTTCGGGAGGACCATATTTCTGTACATGGTAACTTTTTTTTTTTTTTTTTTTGTTTTATGGTGTAGGTCTCAAACAAAGGAGACAGAGTAGTGGAATGTCAGCTGGAAACACACACAACCGCAAGATGGTCACCTTCAAATTTGACCTAGATGGGGACAATCCAGAGGAAATAGCGACCATCATGGTGCGTAACATGGGTGAAGTATGATGAGGATAGGCCATGCTATTAATGTGATTCACCAGCCAATCTCAATACCTTTCTTTTGGACACCAGGTTCAGAATGTCTTCATCTTGGCCACAGAGAGAGACTCTTTTGTCGAGCAGGTTAAAGACATCATAGAAAAAGCAGATGAAATGCTTAATGAGGATGTCGGTGCTGAGCCTGAAGGCGAACAAGAGGTGGAGTGTATGCAGATACAGGGTGATGGGTATTACCCCGAGTCTCAGGTACGGAACAGTTATCTATTCATTACGTTTTACCCTTCCATCTCCCATCAGATGGCTGTGGTCATAACGCACTTATCTTGTGTCTGTTTTTTTTTTCCTGGATAGAAGCTGGAGGATGAGTTCAGAAAGCCGGATCCAGTGTACTACTTACCCCAAAGAATAGGTAAGCTGTCTGATATAACTAATGTAGCATCATATGGGATATTTTTAGAAACCTCTTATCTTAATCATACAGTAAAGGACATGGGACATAAAATCATAGACTGTGGGTTATATACTGCTACCTTCAAGTAATGGTAAGAATTGTAAATCATTCTTCTTTTTTTTTTTTTTTTTTTTTTTTTTTTTTTTCCATCACTTCAACTGAAACTTTTTAGATCCAACTGTTGTCTTCGGGCAAACTAGTAGGTTCCAGGTCAGTTATCCTTCACGCACAGGGGACAATCTGTAATGTTTACTTCAGGCACTGGGTTGGCCTGTGATGCAATAAGTGTAGTTAGCTGAAGGATGCTATATAAGTTCATTGCCATGATCCATTCCTATGGCACCTGGAGCCTGAGGACTCCTTCAGACGTCTGTTCCCTCTAAATCAGGAGTACTGAATTAAAATTCACAGAGATCTGGTTGGTAACATTTTCTTTCTGCAGAGGTCTGAATCAAATTTTTCTTCTATGACTCAGGTTCTTCACGTCATAGCCCCCTTTACATTAGTGTCCTCAGCCCCCCCCACCTCACATCACAGTTCCCCTTGCAATCACAGCCCCCCCTCTCACATCACAGTTCCGCCTTCTCACATCACAGCTCTCCCATATCACCGCTTCGCCTTCTCACATCACAGCTCCCCCTTCTCAAATCACTGCCCACCCATATCACGGCTCCCCTTTCTCACATCATATGCCCCCCCATATCATGGCTCCTCCCTTTCATATCACAGCTTCTCTCTCATATCACAGCCCCTCTTTTTTACAGCCCCCTTCTCACAGCACCCCCCCCCCCTTCTCTCATCACAACCTACCCCCAGGGGTGGACCAACAACTCATGGGGCCCCCGGGCAATTAGAGATCATGGGGCCCCTGTGTCCTTGCCCATGCTCATGCTCAAAACACACCCAAAAATGCCTATTAATGGTACCAGGGGCATTTTATGGGGCCCCCTACTGACCCCGGGCCGTCGGGCAGTGCCAGAGTGCTCGAATGGTCAGTTCGCCCCTGCTCCCCCCTCACTTCACTTCAGGATAGACTTCTGAATGTACTCACCTGCCTGCACCGCAGAACCCATGGCAGGGTGGACTTCTCTATGTACTCACCTTCCGCAACTGCCGCCACCACTGAACTCTATGCAGGGAGGAGGGCGGGAGGCTTGGAAGCAGAAGGCAGGAGGCATGAAAGGTCTGCACTGAAGATGGGAGCTTCCCAACTCTTGTTAAAAAGCGAGCGGCCTGCTTGTTTATATGAAAGGTTGGGTAGCTCTCACTCCCCCTGTATTATTATTACAGGTACTTGTATAGTGCATACACATACTAGGGCCAATTTAGAGAGGAGCCAATTAACCTTACCAGAATGTCTTTGAAGTGTGGGAGGAAACTGGAGTACCCAGAGGAAACACACGCAGGCACAGATAGCACATGCAAACTCCAGGCAGGTTGTGCCATGGTTGAGATTCGAACCAACAACCCTAGTACTGCCAGGTGGAAGAGCTAACCACTTAGCCACTGTGCTGCCATGTAGACTTGCAGCATCTCCCGCTCAACTCCCTACTGTGAGTGCAGCAGCAGACGACTACATTCAGAAGAGGAGTCCACCCTGCCAATCTTCTTGCCCCCTGCAGTGCTGTGACTTTTTTTTTTTTTAACAGCTTGAGCGGCTGGAGGAGAGGAGTCCACTCAAGCTGCTAAGTGATGTGACTGCGGTCCAGACAGGACTGTCACTTAGTCTGTGTTTGAGCCTCAGTTCGCCATTTAGTGACACCTGCTCCAAGTTTTGTCCCCTTTCTGGCACCTCCAGCATTAATATGGTAAGACAGGACTTTCCTGTATTTGTGGCCAGGTCCTTTTTTTAAATGTGGAGTGTTTTTTCCATTTTATCATGTTATTCTTCTCTGTAAATGTGTCGACTACGTTGACAGTAGGTAACATTATTACAGCATATACCTTTCTGCTTGGGTTATGACCTAGTTGCGTTGTGCGAACTGGCTGACACTTTTCCGTCCAACTCAAGCACATCTGCCGGTCTTCTGAAGGCCTATTTTTCCAGAGACAGAGCACAGTTAGTACCTGGGTTTTAGCGTCCTTTCCCAGACATACAAATATCCTCTCGTACTGCATCCCCACTACAGGGGATTCTGTCACTTAGCCGTAGCAAAAACAAGGTGCAGAGAATCTGAGAAAAGAGCCTAATATAGTACTCGTGCTACAGATGGCACTGAGGAAAGCTAGCAAAACGAGCATGTGCAGAGTGACTGCACACTATATGTCTTATCAGAAGATGAGAGAGACACTGGAAGAAGGGGAAGATCAGAGAAGTCAGGATCAAACTGTGTTTTTATACAATGCAGAGGATTAACCCCTTAGGTTCCATAGTGAGTATAACAAGCATGGTTTACTGCATATGCAGACTGATTTAACGTTTGTGGGTTTAGTAACACTATAAGGTTTACCTAGCTTCAATATCTTTCCTCAGAATTCCCTTATTGTCCTCTCTGAAGGTCCAAGAAGGGACATCCTGCTTCCTCTTCCAGCATTGCTAGGTGGCACAATCTCTTCATTTCAGGGCCTACACCTGCAAGGAGCAAGTTCCTCCCTTCCTTATGAGGGACCTGACCTGTAGGGGGTCCAGAAGGCTGCATTTCTGCCACGTTCTTTACTGTGGCCAGCAGCAATATTGGGGTGGAGAGAAAGGGTAGCCATTTCCTATTGAATTGTATGGGAGCTGGCTGGAGAAGTGCATGGCAGACATTTTTTTTGTAGCCACATGGCGGCAATCATATGGGGGCGGAGAGAAAGGGTAGACATTTGCAGTGGACCTTTCCTATTGACTTGTATGGGAGCTGGCTGGAGAAGTTCATGGCAGACATTTTTTTGTAGCCACATGACGGTAACCATCTTGCCAATGATCCTCATTGACTTTTGTATTGGAGCTGGCTGGGGAAATACATGACAACCATCATCTTGTAGCCTCGCAGCGGTGGCCATCTTGCTGGTGATACCTCTGACTGGACACAGAGGTGGTTCCTGGGATAGGAGGGCACACTTTCTCAGGTATGGTCCACACAACAGCATCCACAGATGGCTCACTGACCACATCCACAAGTGGCATCCATGTTGGTACCCACAGCACTTCCCTGGCGGTGGTGAGTCCTTCCTCGGATACCTTCCTTTCTGCTGTAATCATCCTAGGGAGGGGAGGCCTTTGTTCCCCTCTTCCTTTGGATGTCCTAATTTTCGGTGGTGCCTTGCCTGTGTGGGTGGGCTATAAGGAGACTTAGGCGTGTGTGTCCCTTCCTTATCCCCCTTGGAGGGGGCAGGATCCTCTCTCCCCCTAGTTGTGCTGTTGGCAGTCCTAAAGTTCTTCATCTCCCGGCTGGAGGCAGCATTCGGATGCAAGGCAAGCAGAAATCAACCCCCCCTTTTTGTCACCTGTGTCACATTTTGAGCCCAAGTCTGGCTGTGCTGCCATGGGCTTTGCATTTTCTGCAGTCCCTGAAGATGCCTCCCTTAATTTCTCAGACATTGAGGTTGAGTCCTATGCCTCTGTAATCGCACAGGAGAAAGTGCTGGTGACTGCACTGATTACTTTTGTGCAAGATTCGCTTAAAATTCAGGACTCTGTTGGGGTGGCCGACATTCCTGTCCTCTTTTGGTGCGTACAAGCTGGCTTGTAAGATTTATCCTTACTTCGCAAACTTTGATAAGTTTCTTTACAAAGATTTGGAATGTTAAACGTGTCTTTTTGTGGTATGTTATCCCTTTAAAGAGACTTCTGAAAAAGTGGACTTTTCCTCCTGTCGTGGATCCCCCCTATTTCGAGATTGAATAAAGCAGCATGATACCAGTGCAGTAGTCTCCCTCTCTGACTTTGTTGCCTCCTCTATGTTTATTATTGCAAGTGCGGTGTTGCGGCCTGTGTTGGACATGGCCCTGTTGTCTCAGTTGCTTATAGAATGGGCCAAGGTTCCGCAGCAAAGTTTGTCCACCAGACAAGTGGATTAGGGCTGTGTGGATCTGGCAGACCAGTTGGCCCAGAGCCTGAAGTACGTTTCTGATGCGTCTCTGGATGCTGGTCTGTTTCTAGCAAGCTGTCCCTCGCGGTGGTGGTGGGTGCTTTATCTCAAATGCTGGTCTGCTCACCAGACTTGGCGGATCTGCCCTTCCTGCTAGAACATTTCACCAATACTACCTTGGATGACATCAAGAGCTTCACAGGAGGCAAGAGTACCTTCCTCCCACGGCCAAAAAATTGATTGAATTGCATTGGAAGTCTGGGCCTTCCTTTACTGCCCGCAAGAGGCTTTTTCATTCCCTTGGCTCCTCTTATCAGGGCTCCAAGCCTTTCAAGGCCCCCAAGCACTCCTGCACACACAAGTACACCAAGCCTGTGGACAAGTCCTCTTCAGTATGAAGGGTTGCCCCTACCTGTTTCCAAGGAGGTGGGTTGCCTTTGCTGCTTCTTAGGCCCATGGACCTTCAGGCAAGTTGGTCTGTGAAATTATGTCTGGCTATAGGATAGAATTTCTTTTCCACCAGAGAAATTCTTTCCCTCCGATCTTCTCCTTCCGCCATTGCATCTCCAGGCTTACTGCAGGGAGGTGCAGGATCTGCTGTTCCAATGAGTGATGGTCCCTGTGCCCGAGCTGGAACAGTTCTGGGGGTTATTACTTCAACCTGCTTGCGGTTCCAAAAAAGGACATGTTTGCCCAATTTTGGACCTTGATTGGCTTTGAATTGCTTCATGCAGGTGCAGAAGTGTAAGGTGGAATGCATCTGTTCAGTGGGAGCTTCTCTTCATCAGGGGGATTTTCTGGCATTCATAGACACCAAGGATGTGTATCTGCACATTCGCATCTACTAGACAGCATGGCTTTTGAAGTCAGGTTTTGAGGAACAAGGGGTTGTCATGTTCAGTGATCCTTCAATGTTGAAGCCACGCAAGGACTGTCCAAGAAAAGGCCTGATTGCCTCCTCTGCTATTATATCCTATTGGATTTGAAAGACAATTGTTCTTTCTTATGCCACTATGGGTCAGGCTCCTCCCTTCCCTGTGTGTGCACACTTTTATAAAACAATTTTGCAAGTTGATGTGTTGGCATCTTTATATGCTTGTTTTGGCCACAAGGTTTTGCAGACCATTGTTTGATTCCTTGTTTATGGTTTGCTCACTCCTTGAGACACTGCTTTAGGACGTCCATTTCACCAAAAATCAGAAGAGCTGTGTCTGTCAGTGAACATAAGAGAACTAGAATTTTGATAACTGTAAAATCGTTTTTTTCTAGGTGGGTTGACAGACACAGCACCCACTGCTAATTTTTGGAGTTTATACTTCTGATACTACTGGCTTGCCTATAGTGGAGAGGGAGTTTATACCAGTTAGGACTGCCCATAGGTGGTGTTGCGTTTTTTTTCCACCTAGTGTCCTGCTCCTATAAGTGGAGCTATAAACCCTATGGTCAAGAATCAGAAGAGCTGTGTCCATCAGTGAACTCAGAGAAAGTGATTTTACAGTGAGTAACAAAAATCCCCTTATTTGAGAAGGTAGAGCTCTGAAATGGGCAGTTATGCTTAAATTTAGTCCACCAAGCCTGTTTTAACAATATGAGGTGTTTGTGTGTCATTAATCCAAAACGTAGTGAGAATACAGGCACAAAAACTATATTTACATCGCAGTTTAAAACTGATGTGATTCTTCCTTTTGTTTTTTTTCCCCCTAGAACTCGCTCCTGGTCTCAATGCCCAAGTTGTTCACTCTGCTGGTAGACGGTTTATAGTCAGTCCAGTTCCAGAGAGCCGACTGAGGGAGCCAACCTTCTTTAATGCACCATCACAGGATCCACAGCTGACTGGTAAGAATGCTCTACAGTGTCTTTAAGAGACCTACTGTAGTGAGCCATTTGTTGCTGCTGTTTCCTCCTTTCAGGAAGTCTAGTTTCACTTTTATGATAGACTCTGTTGAAAGTAACCTTTCAGTCAAAAATCAAAAGGATTTTATTTGGAGTTCCACTTTAGATTAGCAATCTATACACAGATAATTTGATACTGTATGTTCAACTTGTGCAGGTGTTATGGGAATCCGTTTTTAAATAAGAAAAAAAAATTCAGATACTATAGATTAGCGATTCTTCATAGGTTTTAAAACTGAACTGAGCAACTTTCTACTTTGACCTTTTTGCCTTTCAAGATTAGTAGTTAGTGTCTTAGCATCTCTATGAAAGTATTTATAATTATAGCAGCCTAAAAAAAAAAAAAAAAAAAAAAAAATATATATATATATATATATATTATTATTATTATTAAATTAATTTATTTATTTATTTATTTATTTTAGTTCCCACTTCCCATGTTCCTGGCATCGCAGTTTCCACTTCTCATGCACCTGGGATGAACCTCTCTCACTCTGCATCATCTGTCAGTCTCCATAATGCCTTTGCAGAGCTTCGACAGTCTCAGATGGCTGATGGTCCCAGTACAGCTCCACCAGTTTTTAATCAAACTGGACCTCCATTTCCACCATCTCTAACTAATCTCACTGGGCCCTTCTCAGGAGGATTATCCGGCCTGCCTCCATCTACAACTGCTCCCAGCAGCCTGCAATCTGGAGTGGCACAGCCGTCGGTGGAAAGTGTTGTGACTCCTACCATTACAGGAGTGTCAGCCCCCAGCATTATGCCAAGCAACGTGCCTGCAATCACCACTGTGTCTACTCAGCCACTGACTACAGGAGTTATATCTGGGGTTTCTGCACCCACATGTGTACCTCCAGCTGTGACATCACTTCCTGCTTTGCCTCTAGTTGTGGGCATGCCTGTGGCTCCTGGGACAGTGGCATCACCCCCTACACAGTCACTTCCACCCACGAGTACTTCTGCAGTCGTACCACAGACCCTTACGTCTCCTCCGTTGCAGCTGCCAGTAGGCAGTATAGCCAGTACCCTGTCTCACACATCTGTGTCAGCACCAGTTATGAGCACTGTGACGCCAGCGCAAGTCCAGCTGAGCAGTAGCACCTCCACTCCAAGCTTTGTGGAAAGTGTCACCTCCAGCTCTGCTCATCCAGATGTTACGAACAAACCAGCAGAGGCCACTGCTACCATAAGTACAGTGGGTATGTCCCTCCCTATCTCTGCACCTCTCACATATGCAGGAGTGGCAGCTTCCGGCATTGCAGTGGCTGGCAATGCGCCTATTATTCATCCCACTCATCTTCCAACAACAATCGCAACAACGCCAGTTTTATCACAAACAGGCGGGACAGTGTCCACACCACTTGGCTCTCAGGTTTCTATGTCTGGAGTTGTGCCTGTAAATCACCAGATGCCCGCTGTTCAGCATACATTACAACATGGTCAGACACTGCCTAGCATGGGCCCCGGTCTTCCTCACACCCATTCTATTGAAGGTGAAGACAGTCTGACAAAGTCTGGAATAGATGATATCAAGACCTTGGAAGAGAAGCTTAGGTCGCTTTTTAGTGAGCATGGCAGCGTTGGCGCACCGCATAGCTTAACCCCACAAGAAGCTGCGATTGGACAAGAGGGTGTTCCCTTGCCTGGACCTCCATCGACCACGGTCTCCACCCAGACCAAGCCTACATCTACTGCACCGCCCACCAGTTTACCTCTAGGACAGTCTGGCATGCCCGGCTTAGGCCAAGGTGTGACTCCTGGACAGGCTGTTACCCCAGTCACCTATGTTTCTGCAGCAGCTGCCACTGCAGCTACTGGAAAAGCTGGGACCCCTCCCTCAAAGCCCCCACTCAGCAGAGTACCGGTAAGTTGTGCCATCGCCACTACAAATGTGCAATTTCGCATCCTCATTACATAAACCCTAGTTTTCATCACATCACCTAGTCTTACCTCAGTATGATCGCTTGGTTAATTATTTAATATTTTAGCTGCTTGATCTTTTATTATAAAATTGAAATTGGTTATACAAGAACCTATGTAGTACTAATCGAGTTAAGCTGTGCGGAAAATATGAATGCAGCCTTTGAAACTGTCACATTTTATAAATGGTATTTGTAAGATGGAAGGGTGGTAGAAAGGTTTAGTTCCTAATTGAGATACTGAGTGACAATTGAGATACTGAGTGACAACAGGGTATCTCATCTCTGTATCTTTGAGGGCATAATCTAGCTCTGTCATAGCAACAGACAAGCTGTATAACCAGTGCAGGTCATAAAATGGACCTAAACTGCATTAAAGCATGTGAAAGCCAGAAACAAAATGTATTATATTGCAGCTTGTCAGTTTGGTAATGTTGTGGCTACATCTAGGCTTTTTTTCACCCGTTGACTCCTTTGGAGGAGCAGCATAAACACCTTTTTGATAGCAGTGTTATCTGCGCTAGCAGATCTAGATGGACTTGCCTAACAAGTGATTGTAAATGTATATTTTTTTTTAATAAATAACAAACGCCATACTTACCTGCTCTGTTCAATGGTTTTGAACAGAGCAGCCCCAATCCTCTTCTTCTGGGGTCCCCCACCGGCGCTCCTGGTTCCTTTTCCCCCGCTGAGTGCCCCATAGCAAGAGCCCTTAAATAGTTTCTCAACCCTCCAACTGTCACTTTTGCTAGACTGCTCCAGTTCCATGACTCAAAGCCAGCATGGAGGGTCATGTGACCTTTATTCACTATCACTAAAAACCCTGCTTATATCAGCTGCCTAGTGCACAGTCGTGGGATGTGTGATATAAAAAGCAAGGAGCTCTGCAGAGACACTTTTTAAAACTCCAAAGCCAGTGTTTGATGGCCTGGTTCTACAGTTTAGGCCTTCTTTATAACCCAATATTCTAACAATACTGGAAAGTTCAAATCCAACCCTGGCCTCTTCTACGCTCCTGGTTTATAGCATTGTTTGCTACAGTACAGATTCACTATGTTGAAGGTGTTTAAAGTGAGTTAAATGAATAATTGTGAAACAGTAGTAGGCAGAATCAATTAAAAACTTTTCGGGTTTTTTTCTTTTCTTTTTTTCAATTTCTGGAAGCATTTCATTTTAGTATTTTTTGTTTTGCTTTTTTTTTTTTTTTTTTTTTTTTTTTTCATTTCTTTAGGCATCCATGCATTCTTCAGTGAATTGGAAAATCTGATGCTTAACATTTGAGCACCATTTTGTTTGTGTATGACCCCGAATATGAATATGCCAATTGTCTAGACTGCAGAGAACAAAACATAATGAGCAGTTCTTTTTTTTTTTTTCGTTCATCCCAGCAGGCTGAACAAAATAAATACTGAGGAGCTTTCAGTGCTATGTTATAGTGCAGCATTCTCCCCGCTGAGCTATTGTGTTCTGACAGGGGGACTGACACCCAAACCCCCCCCCACCAGAACACACTGGTCAGTGCTCGCAGCCATTTGCCTGCAGGTGCTGATCGGCTGCTGTTTTTTCAGCATGCCCATTCAACAGAAGCCGCACAGGCTGGTGTACACATGGGTTGCTTTCTTTTGAACCGGCCAATACTGGCCGATATTCACCCTGTGTGTACCAGCCTTAAGGGCTTGTTCACATCATGACAAAGGGCACATAGAAAACCATACGGCCCCGTGCAAAGGGCACATAGAAAACCATAGGGTTGCTTGAAGTGTAATTTGTGACACTTAGGAAAGTAAAAAAAAATAAATAAATAAACAGTGTGATAAGTTGTAATGCATGCTGGTGTAAATAAGCCACAATGAGACCATTCAGTCAGCATATCTAAACCCAAGAACAAAAAATTTAATATATTGTGAATTACCCATCTTTGGGTGTGGTGGCTGCATTCATTTTCTTTTGTTTTTTGGCTAAATAATTTTTGGCAGGTTCAGAAAATATTTGATTTTTGCCAGACGTATAGTGTCTTAGCAATTCCCATGTGGTAGCAAGATATCTCATACAGTGTTATCTTCCATGCTATCTGCTGTAAACTACTACTACTACCCTGGTCACATGCCTCCCCCACCTATAATGTGGATGAAGAAAATATATTTGTTAAAGTGGTTCTGAAGGCTCAAGGTTTCTAACCTTTATGTATTCTATGCACAAAGGTAGAAACCTTCTGTGTGCGGCAGCAATTGCATGCAGCTGTGGCTCAAGAGGCTTTTATCCAACAGGGCAGTTGAACAGAAGTTGATGGGAAGATCAACTTCTGTTTAACTGCATTGGCCACACTTGTATCGAAATTCAGCCAGTCCCTGCTGAACCGGCTAAATTTTGATCCGTTTTAGGCCACCTTTAGGGTTAGCTTTGTTACCCTAGTGCTAACTAAATTCATCTTCGTATATAGGGGGGACCTTTCATGCACATTCTAGAATATCGAGAAAAAAGAAAAAGACAGGTTTGCTATATTTTCCCAATCTACAGATCAGTTCTCTTGCCCCTAATTGTCAATTTGTAAAATGAAATATCTGGAAATATTGTTTCAGACAGTCATTCTTCTCTACTGTTTTTTCAAAATACTAACTCGAATGCTCACTTCTAATCTATATTCAACAGCTTGAGAGGCTGTGACAGTCTATCCTAACTCTCTATTTGTCCTCTTTACTGGCTGCATTGCACGATGAGAACAGGCAGACATTCTTATTGGAATGACCAGGCCTAGCGTTTTTTTTTTTTTTTTAAACATGCAAAAAATGGGTTTGGGAGCGAAAGGGTCAGTGAAGACCTTTCATAGGAGAAATACCTTAGAGGAGACTGCGGACTTCCATTTGAAAATATATTTAGCTGTATTTGCTTAAATTTTTTTTTATTTTCAGCCTTTGATGAGGGACAAGTACTCACTAAATGCTGTATCTGTAGTCACTCAAAATGCATTGAAGCAAGTCATTTTGATACTTGGGAAGCTAGCATATTCCTGCTAGTGGATACAGTTAGCCTGTACATTTCTGCCCTGGCAGGTTTCCTTTATATAACCCTGTGCACAGCTACAAAGATCTGAAAAAGGCAAACTTAAAAGGACATGAATGCTTATTTTTTTTCCGCTGCCAAATTCCGTTTCAATCCGCGAGAAATCATCCAATGAAATCCGCTGCAAAACGAACATTTCTGGGAGTGTACTGATCTCCTGGATCCCCTGCATCTCTGTGGTCCCTCTTGCTGACCTTCACGTCACTGCTGTGTTCTGTAATGAGTAAAGGTCAGCAGGAGAAACCATTGATAGCTTGCATGGACCCAGGATGTTAACAGTCCCTAAAGAGCTGGTGTCCTAGCAGACTGAGAATGTGGGGAACCAGTTCTCAGGATTAGTGTTGCATTTGTTGGTGCGGGCAGCAGGAAAGGGAAGTATCCAGTCTTTTACAGGTGTGCCTTTTTAAGGATCTTCAGTTAATGACAGTGTCTTTTTGAAGGATGGTGTCCGGCTCCTAATATTGAGAGGCTGCTTCTTGCATTCAATTAACAAAGATGCATCTCCTCTGGAAGTGAAACTCTGAACTTGCAAAGCTTAAAAACTAGGGGCTCCAGGTCTATACAGCCCATTGATCTTGAATACAATTTGTAACCAGGTTCTCAGCTTCTTTCTCTTCAAGCCATTCACCTTTCTAGCTTTTTAGAAAATCTTCCACCACAGGCTGCTTGAAGGGTTTTCAATGGATATTGGGATTTGGTAGGAGGGAGTGGCTTAATGAGATGTCAAATGTTAAGGAAACCTAAGCAGAAATATTTGTTGGCTCTACCAATCTCTACTACCAGTCTTCTAGTTTGAAGAGGTCCTTAGAACTAAGGGATTTTAATGTCTTACTCCTGCACCTGTCAGCATACACTTTGTTTTCAGCACATTCCAATTGGATGCCCTGCTGAAAGGATGATTGTCAGGAAGCAGTAAAATCTCTCATTAACAAGGGTCTAAAGCCCCGTATACTTGTTGAGAATATCGAACGAA